AAAAAAAAAAAAAAAAAAAAAAGAATCATAAAGGGAGAAATTCCATCTTGGGAATTACTACAATTTGCTGTTACTCATGTCCTTGAAGGTAGGAACATGACTTTATTTAGGACAAAGTGCTTGCTACTTAATAGATACTCAATAAAAAACTTCTGGACCAAGTGAATGAGAGAATGGAGCTGTGTGAAAGTACTTTGGAGCTCCTACAGTGCCATGTAAACCGTTTTGTCACTCTCCACCCCTCCTCTCCCCCGTAGAAACACTTTGAGAGTAGTAGTGATGCTAACCTCACTAACACTTCTGTAAGGTCAAAGATCAAGAGTTTACTTACTGGATCTTTTCAGAAGGGAGTTCATGTGTAAAGGGATAATGTTACTTCCTTTTTATTTTTTGGTTCAAATTGAGCATTCTGTTTTGCCACTTCAATGGTTTGGAAATTACTTTTTATAAGCAATTCGGTGACTTCTCATGGCTCTTCACCAAAATCCTCCAGGACTCTAGGGGTCTTGCCAGGCTCAGTCTCTAACTGCCTCACAGGCCTCCCCTTTCTTCCTCTTCCCCTCTCTGGCAGGATGGCCACACAGGCATTGCGTTCCCTAAAAGGCCACGCCCTCACTCTGAGTCCGAAGCTTCAAAACAGGTTGCTTTTCCTCCTCAAGCAATCTCCTCGCCTCTCGTCTAATCTGTGCTAGTGCATTCTTGAAGGTACAGATGGAAAGGTCCCCACCCAGAGACACTCCCTGGCCTCTCAAATCTCTTCTGCTTCCTCTTACGCACACCCTTCCTTCCTTCCTTCTTTCCTTCCTTCCTTCCTTCCTAGCACCTATCAGTTTGTGATGATACAAGTTTCCATCTGACTGCTTGTTGTTGTTACCTATCTCCTCCACATATAAAATTTGGCTATGGTCAGTTTTTGTTCAGTGCATTTTATGTAATTCCAGTATCAAGTTTAATGTCTGGCACATATTAGAAATTCAGTAAGTATTTGATAATTTAAAAAATGGAGCAAAGTTTCAATGCTTTTATTAGTTAAATGGTAACTTCTATGTGTTCTTTGCACCTTGTTTTGAAGTTTTCTTTTTGATATTTATTTTAAGGGACTTCTACTTGTACCTTTTGAATTTCAATGTTTATGCTGCTTTAGAGGTCTGTTATACATTTCCTCTTCCTATATTGCTTAACTATAAAAAAATCTGACAGGATTTTAAACCATTATTTTGTTTTGCTTTGAGATAGGGTCTTGCTATGTAGTTCAGACTGGCTTTGAACTCATTATGTAGCCCAGGCTGGCCTTGAACCCATGGAAGTCCTCCTGCCTTGGCTTCCTGAGTGCTGGGATCACAGGCATGTGCCATCATGCCCAACTTTAAACCATTTTGCTATAAGATCAAAAGTATTATGTAAAATTATCATTGTGAACTTGTTTCTTATGATTTCTTTATTGATACCCTAAGGTCCCCGCCCTTCAAAGTAAGTTACTACCCACTGTCAAACTATGGAAATAAATGCCAGGTGCCATTTTCAGGACCTTGGCTGAATAATCTTGAGCTGTCTTCTAATCAGGTGTGAGCCAGGGCCACAACCCCAGAACGCTATCCTACACCGACTTCACAACTAGAATTCTCTGGCATGCTGTGAGGTCTTCTTGCTAACTCTTGCTCCAAAGGATATTTCACTGTAAGGTTATAAAACTATTTCTGCCATCTCTCACATATCCAGCCTCAAAATTACAATATAAAACTGTTCTATTTACAAAACTAAGCCCGGGGACATATGTAAGACTGTCAAAAGCTAAAGGAGTTTTCTTCTTGCAGCATAAGGGAGATTTTATGATGTTTTACTTGTTTGTTTAGGTCAGCTTTGAAACTTACATCCTGGCGCTCAGATTCGGGACTGAGGGCAGAGTCCTGGGAGACAAACCTCCTCCACACAGGACTGCTCTTTCATCAGGGCCGCAGCTCCCTTCTCTCCCAGTGATTTATATGCCTGGGGTATTGCTGCAGGGCTGTTGGTGAGGGCCTGAAACCTATCTTCCTCCCAACAAGGACTGCACCACACTCTGCAGGACATATGGTGCACAGCTCCTAAAAGATTAATGGGAACATGAGCCTTTCCTACCTCCTCTGACCACGGATGATAAGGGTGTTAGAAAGAGCACCTCCCTTGAGCTTTGAAGTAGCCCGGACTACAAAGGTTTGAGGAAATTTAGAGTGAATGGGAGCCCCCCAAATACAGTTTGGCAGGAGGAATGCCTATTGCAAAGAATTCCCTAATCATATACAAGCATGATTTCAAAACTCTTCAGACTGATGCAGGGGAGTTTGGGAACTCTTGAGATGGTTGCATATTTATTTTGTACATTAAAGAGACCAGGAACATCTCCTGAGTCTGCATAGATGCAGTGGTCACCAAAGGACTACTGATGGAAAGCACACGCTGGGCAGACGGGCCACCACAGATCCCATAGGTGTCCAAGCTGAACTCGCCTTCCAGCAGGCTCAGCCATTCCTTCCTGTCCCTTGCGGATCTTCATCTGCTTCCACAGCTACTGCCCTCCCCAGGCTCCCCCATCTTCTCTCTCAGCAGATCACTCATTCAACACTTCACAAACCCTAGGAACCCATAGCCACTTCACTTCATCTCCTGGCCCTATCTGTCTACATGGCTCCACCCACGCCTGTGCCCATCCTCACTGCTTTGCTCTGCTGGAGAAGTTCAATTACTCTGCCTGGGCCTTGGGTTCACCTCTCCGGGCCCTTTCTCATATTTTCTACCTTCCTTGCCTGGATCCTCTCCCACAGGATGCCTGAGTTTCTGCCCTACTGATCCCCTTTTCATGAGGCCTTGAAAGAGCTCCTTGAGAGAGCAACTCTCACTTGCTCCTCTGCTCCTTCACTTCTGCCCACTTCTTCCTAATCATCACCTTGCTTGGCTTCCATCCTGTAACCACTGTCCTTCCAGGGGCTTTCCTGTCACTTCACCAAGGTTTCCCACTGCTCAGCCCCTTCCCCCATCTCTCTTGCTGCTCTAGAGCATGCTGGAATTTCCTCAGGGCACACCAGGGGCATGGGTGACCTCAGTTACACCGTCTCTGGGTAACCTTAGCTTTTCATTCAATTCGTTCATCCAATCAATCATTGACATGGTCAATATTTACGAAGATCTTACTATGTTGACCGGTGCCTGCTACACACTGAGGATGAATAAGATACCTATCTAGCCAACAGAGATCTTTAAAATAATTACAGAAGTGCAATTAAATGCTACAAATATTACATAAGCACACAGGGGTCGAGAGAGGAAGGGAAAAGATGGCATAAAGGCTTTAAGTGAATCTTGAGAAACAGGGAAAAAATGTGTACCAAGGGCTAGGAAAGAAGGACTCAAGATAAGAAAAGTAGTATGTGTAGCACGGTGCTTCAGACCTGGGCTTCAGAACCAGGCGATCTGGATAGAATCCCAGGCCTATCTTTTATAATTCATGGGGATGAGGATGTGCTATTTTTAAAAATTTCCTTTTCCACTTGTATAACAAGCCCGAACTTTCATGGCTGTTGTAAAGTTTAGATGAGAATGAAAGTGTTTAGCTTAATGCCTGGCACAGAATGATTATTAAGTAATAATTATTATTACTCTAAATATATTTTTGAGTTTAATAGGTGTTTTATAACCATTGCAATGGAACCTACTTCATAAGCTTGTCGTGGAGATTAAATGAACTAATATGAAAGAACCCTAAAAAAAGAATAGCACAATATTATTCAGCCATGAAAAGGAATGAAGTGCTGATAAATGCTGTAACACAAAGAAGCAGTAGTATGATAAAGCAGCTACAAGTAACAAAATAAGCCAGATACAAAAGGATAAATAGTTTATGAGTTCCTTTATCTCAGGTACTCAGAATAGGCAAATTCACAGAGGCAGAAAGCAGAATCATGGTTACAAGGGCCTGGGGGAAGGGAGAAAAGACAGTTATTGCTGAACAGGTATAGAGTTTCTGTTTAGAATAGGACAATTTTTGGAAATAAATAGTGGTGATGCTTGTACAAGATTGTAAATGTCTTTAGTGCCATAAAATTGTACACTTACAAATGGTAGGTTTTAAGTACAGAAGAAAGAAAATGCCAGGTTCATATGCCATTTTCACCAAAAATAATGCCACTAATATTCAGAGTAAGACAGAAACAAATTTGGACATTTTATCTGCTTAGTTTTTGAAACTTATGTTTGCAGGGTTTTATGTTTTCCTAATAAATATGTATTTTTAAATTTTTAAAATTGGTAAACTTTCAAAAGAAGGAATTAATACAGGGCTTGTACTATGATCAACCTAGAATCTAGACAGCTGACTGCCTTCTTTATAACAGACAACTTTACTTCATTTTTGACCTGTATTAAATCCAAGATGGCTTGATATTACCAAGACTCCCCTCTGATAATCAGTTGCATAGTATATTTTGGAGATATATAATTGTGTTTAAGAATTTACAGCCTGATGTGGATATAAAAATGGATATACAAGTGGCCTCACAGAGGCAAATCCAGCAGTTAGAAAATTATGTTTAAAATAAACCACCAAGACCCTGGCAAAGGGCATCTTCCTAGGGTCTGGGCAAGAACACATGTGGCTCACTGACCTGTGTGCCCTGGCCGTTGATGTCGACGGCATCACTCCACTCGGCGGTTACTGCATCCAGCAAGTCTACTCTCAAAGAAAGACTGGGAAGTAAGTCTTTGGTCTTGCAGTCTGGATAACTGGAAATCTGATGATAGAGCTCATGATGAACTGAGCTCTCAGGAGGAATTCTTCTGCAATAAACCTCAAAATTTGGAATTTCTGAAAAGAAAAGTTTATGCACACTTAGGCCTTAAAGAGAAGGACTTAATGTGGCAAAATAAATTGTTCAAGAAGGGTTGGATAATACTTTCATTTAAACATTCTAGGTCATAGATGTCTACTAAATAGAAACCTCAAGGAAGTATGAAAATTTTGTTATTTAAATTCAACGCTATAAAACATACCTTTAATATTTTCCTTTATAAGCACTGTCACAGGACATCTATTGTGGACAATTACTCGAGGACTAGGGTCTTCTGTGATTGTTAAGTAAGTCACTCCAAAGTGCTCCTGATATGTCAGTGCTAGAGCCCTAGAACACAGTCAATCCAAACAACAGAAATGATTTAGAAAAAAATGCATGCTTTGTCTCTTGGTTCATGTTTACCTGGGCTTGTGATACTTCAAATTGTAAAATACCTTCTTTTTCGTAACTCAGGGGAGTTATTTTCCAGAAGAGGAAGCCATCCCCTCTTTTATTACCATCATATATATATATATATATATATA